CTCTCCCCACCCCACCCACGACCCAGGACCCAGTTTCAGCACAGCCCAGCACTACTGGTCCCTGCCTCAGCGATGCTGTGGGAGTGCTGATCTCTCTCCATCACAGCCATGCCTGACATGGACCCTGATGGTTTGGACCCATCTCCTGGCTTGTCCTCAGACTTGTCTTGTTGGTACAGACCTTCTCAGCAATCATGGGACTGGTCTGACCCTGGTTGTTCTCGCCAGACCAAATTCCAGACCCGTGATGGACTTCCTAGCTTTACGCTGGACCTGCCTTATCCTGTGAACGTACCTGGAGGTCTGGCCTCATGGCTGAAATTGTCTGTTTTCTCCGAGCCTGTCTGGCTCCCCTCGCTGGGATGCTGGCTGATGAGGTCCCTGCTCCGGTGGCTGTGTTGCTGCTCTCGCGTCCCCCTTCCTTAGGGAGCAGCTGGCCAGTGCCGCTCTCCAACATTCTCTTCCTGTCCTTAAAGCTAAATCCATCCTTCCTGATACAGACCATAGTGTTGTAATTTGGTCCTGTCTAGACTAATTTTTTTTTTTTTTTAAAGCCCATTTAGTCATTCTTTCTGCTCTTTCAATTTGCTGGAGATGAAAGAAATTTGTTTCTTCCTTGGCAATGCAAGTTGTTGGCTCCTCAAAACCCCTGTATTTCTTCCTTCACAGGTGCAGGGTCAGGGACTTTGTTGTTTGCCTCTCAAACACCACTGAATTTGATACAACAGCTATGAGGTAGGCAAGTATTGCTGCCGTCTACTTCACAGAAGAAAAGATACAGCCAGACTTGGTGGCAAACTTCAAAATCTTATTTCGGTCACATGAGCTATATCACAGAGCAGCTCTGGCAGAACGAAGGGTAAAAGCCAGTTCTCTTGCATCCCATCTCCTCTTATGCCTCAAGCACAAAGGCCATCCTTTTCTTCCTGCAGCTGTGCCCCTTACTCATGATATAAACCCTTCATTGTTTGGAGCATGCTGCTGGTAATGCATATTTGCATCTCAGTAGTTTTTGAAGTTGACCACACATAGGTCTATCAAACATGTAATATGGTGAAATACTGATTTCATCTGGCTTTGTATGCAGAGCAATGTAAAAGCGTTTGTTTTTCTTCTGTAAGTGAAGGACTAGAGTCTCTAAGCAGGTTTATCTCTTCCAGGTTTATTGATGGTCAGATCTGGTAATGCCTGTTTTGGGAACATGAAATTGGTGTCTTTAAAGTACATAAAATTCATATAAAAAGACATCGAGCTACAACTGTATTAAATCGTTAACAAAGGAATAAAACCACATGGAATTATACTACTTCTGTATTGTAAGTCAGTGCAAGATTTACTTAGGAACTGCAGATCCCCACCAGAGCTTAGTGCACTTTTGTTGCAACTTTCTACAGCAGTTTCCTCCAGTTGAAATTATCCTTTTCTACACAATGAAGAAGCAGAAGTATAGTATTTTACAATTTTCATTACTCAGAGTTGGTAGAATTACAATTACTACTCAGCTCTAAAACTGCATGTACTGATGATGATACGCTTTCCAGGACTGCAAGCATCTGTGAAAACAAAACATGCAGCATTTTGTATTCCGAGTTTCACAAATTTAACTAAAATTTGCAACATTTGCTACAGGAAATGGCAGCTCTAGAACTGGAGGGGAGGCTTTGTGAATTCTGATGTTGAACCCAAACCTAAATCAGAAGATTCTGTAGTTAAATTTATTTTAAAGGAGTGAAGAACTTCTGTAAGAAGAAAAACGCAAGTTTCAATTCTGTGAGATATTTAGAATGTTTAGAAAGAAAGAAAAGAACGTGAGGATGGTGACAAAAAAAAAGTATGGACACAGGAAGCAAAGACTGGAAAATGTAGTGGAAATACCTTCAGACCAGACAGAAGATATTTGCCAGACTAGTGGTCATAGCACTGAAAGGGGAAAAAAAAAAAAAAAAAAAGTCTTCTAGAAAAGCAATGTAAACCTTGTAAATTCTTATAAAGCTTCTAATATCTTGTGATAATAGGAAAGAAACACCTTTCTTTTGGCAAACTCTCCACAACAGATGCATCTGAAAAGCATCCAATATCTGATTGTGGCAGGGAAGAGAAATGGTTTCCAGCTTCTCTGGCACCAAGTTTAATAATGTGTGTCTTTTGGGAGGATAATCAGTAGCTCAATGAAAAGTCTAAGAGCTCTGAAAGCCACAGAGTATTGAGCTTCTAACAGATGAGGCAGGGGGTGTCAAAGAAATTTCTCAGTGGCTGAATTTAAATAAGTGTTTCTCAGAAAAATAATTCATATGCAATTGAATACCTCAATTGCAGTGTTCGTGAATGAGTTCTGAAGGGAAGGAATCACAGCAAGTCAGTAAACAGTCTGAAGTCTAATCAAGTGCCAGCCTTATGCCCTCCACTGAAGCCCATCTATAAGTGTTAGACTACTTTAATAATATTTAATGTGCATTTTTTATCATTCTTCTTGTGTTAATAATGGGCTAATTTGACTAAATGGTATTTGGTGAATCAGCTGTTTTCTACTCAGATCAGCTAAGTAATGTTAACCTAGTTTCTCTGAGATGAAAAGAATTACTAGAAAAGGCTTCAGAAAAAAAAAATCAAGAAAATATCAGAAAAGCTGATAACTGACCTGCAACTAGGAAATTTCTTGTTTCACAGAAGAAGGTAGGACAGTATGGGGTAGAAGGATGTGACAAGCTGTATGCTTTTGGAAGGTGCAGTTCTGTTAGCTAAGGAAAATTTTTGTTTTTTTATGTAACGTAGGATAGTTTTAGTGAACTTTCATACCAGGTAGAAGGATTTTGGACATTAGCTAAGCTATAATCAAGAGAGGTCTATTTTCTTTTGTTATCACTGATAGTTTGCTTCAGAAAAGCAATTTTTCTTTCTGTCAAGAAAGACCTTTGTCATAAGGAGCAGTTAATGGTGTTGCTGGAGCTAAAGAATCAATCATTCATTTTGCTAGTATACTAGCAGAAAAAGGAGTTACTACTGATCATTTTTGTCTGTGAATACATTTTCACAGAATGCACTTGAAAACTGATTATAGCATCACAAAAAGATGAAGAATATAGCTCAAATTTTGTCTTAGTAATTTTAAAGCATGGCTAAAAGGGATAAGATGAAGCAGAGGCCATGAAAGAAGTAATTAAGGCAGCCAGTATAGTAATGATTTTCAGGAAATACTTCATTAGTTAACCAAGAAACTTGGCAAAAGCAACTTAAAGGGAAGAGCAAAAAGGTGGAATGCTGTGTAAGGATCAATTAATGCAAATGCTACATTGCAGAATCCAAATTATGCTTCTTTGTCTTGAAGAAATTTGCAAAAGTACAAAAAAGTTTTGATGTTCCTCTTTTTTAACAAAAACTGTGTTGCTATCTGAAAAAGTTAAGCAACATACCAAAAAAGTGTATTAATTGCATGGTAAACATAAAAGCATGAAATACACCCAACAGAGCCACTAACATGCATAGATTAGGAGGATGCTCACAGACATATATTAAAGATAGGCTGAAGGATTACTGAAGACATGAGTTTGTCTTAAAAGTAAAGCTGCCAGCAGAACGCACAAGTCGCACCTGTGACCTTTCATGTCTCATTATATCCTCTTCATTTTACTGTATACTTGGGCTTGAGTGTGACAGACTTTCAACCGAGGAAATTTGGCAATAGCTGGGTCTTATTTTTGCATGGATAAAATGTCTTCTCATTCTATAAACTTTATTATTATTTCAATTCAAATAAAGAAGTTCCTACTCCTGAAGGACCGATACCACTTCCTTTTCTTTACTTGACCATGTCACTGTGTATCAAATGTTTTCAGGTTGTTTTGAATCGACTGTGCTTCTTTCTCAAAGGCCATCAAAGAAAAGGAGAGTTAGGAGGAAGATTTAAAATATGTAATTCCAATGACTGCTACAGAGAGAACTTGGAAACTATCTGCATATGATTTATAGTCTTCTAAATTTTCCTGTTTAATATCACATATACTTCTCTTCCATATATTGCGTTTGCATTTAAGATATGTTTTATACTATGATTTGCTTCTCCTATTTCTATCATAACAAACAAATAAAAAAGAAAATCAATGCAATGAATGTGATCATAATTTTATCAAATTAAAATCAGTGCTACTCTCTTAATTTCAGTATATGACAACATTATATCCAGCTAAAATTACTTTTTGCTCATCTATTAGGAATAGCAATGTGAAACTCTTTTTGCAGTTATGCGGCTGGAGGAAAACCAGCAGCAATTAAGAAGGAAAACCTTTTAGTAGTTATATAGAAAAAAAAAACGTTAAATCTGTAAACCAGATTGCTTTGTGTGTTATCTGGCTTCTTTGTGCTACTAGGCAGCTCAAAGAGGACAGAGTCTCACCACTATAAATAAAAGACATGTGAGAAAATCTGTTGATAGGTGGTTGCTTGTGTCATCTTCAAGCAAACCATACCACTCACTGCCCTGTGCAGCGAAATGCATGCTCTGAGAAAGGGGGAGCACACAGAGGAGTTCATTAAGCTTTACCAGTCCCTAACTGACGTAAGCTAAGCTCTGCTGATTCATGCTAGGACCAGCTACAGTGGTTTCAAACCAGCCCTCAGCACTGAGGAGATGTAAGAGTTTCCTCGATGAGCCTTTTTCCTTTTATGTAGTCTCAAACATCACTTTGGCTACAAGAAAACTTTTGATCTTAGCAGCACTGGAAATACACAAGAATTGTCCATCCCTGTGATGCAAAGTGGGATCCCCCTGTGAACTTTTTGTCACAGATAGTAAAGCTCTTTACGTAGTATTCCTGTTGATAGTAGATTGTGGTAGTAAAAGAATAGTGTCTTGATCAGATTTTAGGCAAAATTTTTAAAAAAATGTGGATGCATATATCATCATCAAGATCATTCTTTGTTATTACAGTAATGAATATAGTCCATCTGCTTCCCTCTCACTGAGTTTCAATTCACTAGTTTGCCTTTTTCTCAACTTCTGACAGGTGAGGAATGATCTGACTGGCGTCCTGTATGGTGAAGACATCGAAATTTCAGATACTGAGAGTTTCTCCAATGATCCTTGCACAAGTGTAAAGAAGCTTAAGGTATGTGCTGCTGCTTGAGGAATAACGAGAAAGTGGTGATTATGTCATGGCATTTGATTTTTTTTTTTTTTTTTTGCTATGAAGAAGGATAATAAAAATTTGCATAAGAATGACATACTGCTACATTCCATTATATAGTAAGGTTAACAAATGGCATTTTGAGGACCTAGTCCTGCTTAAGTCAATGAATGTTCATGAATATAGTAAATATTTTTATAGTTCCTGATAAGAACACAAAGTAAAGCAAGTTAGTAGTGATAGGACAAGGGGCAATGGATTTAAACTGAAAGGGGAGATTTAGATTAGATAGAAGGAAGAAGTTTTTCACTCTGAGGGTAGTGAGGCACTGGAACAGGTTGCCCAGAGAAGTTGTAGATGCCCCATCCCTTGAACTGTTCAAGGCCAGGTTGGATGAGGCTTTGGGCAACCTGGTGTAGTGGAGGGTTGGAACTAGATGATCTTTGAGGTCTTTTCCAACCCTAACCATTCTGTGATTATATGATTCTATAACTTATTGCTGGCTTAATGTTTGTACCTATAGCACCAGTCTTACTGATATACATGGGAAAGCTCTTGAGGTTTGGAACCAGAACCCTTTTAAGGTAAATTATCATGTAGCAAAAGCATTGAGCATCTTTCCATTAGCTTCATTACACGACTTAGATTGAACTCTTTGCTTATAATCATCTGCATTATTTCATATGAACCGTAGGAAAAAAAGGACAAATTAATTTGATAGCAGAATAATTTACCATCCTTCTCTTATTATAATGATTTATTAGGTTTGTGGCATCTCATGAAATTAAAACTATGTTTTATCATTACCATGTAGTACAACCAACAATAAACTAAATACAGGAGATGCAAATCTTAAACTGCATATGAACATGAAAAAATGATTAAAAAGCAAGACAAAGCACTTTTAAATGGTGAAGATCAAATTGTTAATGGCATAAAATATTTATGACACACAATCAAAGCCACAACCCTGCAAATACTTAAATACAGGTAAAACAGATTAAAAAAAAAACAACTAATAAACTGAATAGTATTCAAAAAATGAAATTAAACCAAGGATATCAACCTCTGTAAGAGTAGGCCACTACTGAAGATAACTGGAAAAGGTCTGAAGCATGGTAAACTAAGTGTGTTTTATTATTCTCACAGTCTAGAGATACAAGCTTGAAAGATTAAAGTACAGATAGGTAAAGATTATGTTTGTAGGAAGCCATTTGTGTCTGTACAGTCTAAACCTGTTTGCATTTCCTATCTGGAGCTGAAGAGACTCCAGTATGTGTTGTCAGTAAAGTCCACATTTATGACAGGGTCTTTAATCCCTGGCATCAGAAAACTAACGATTCTGAAGGCAGAGCTATTTAAACCAATGGATGATGTAATAACAAGAAAAAATGCATATAAGCATGTATATTTAGCCTGAAGGTTAGAAGAAGCAATGACATTCCAGCCTTCCTGTATGTCAACAGCGCACAGTTTGATTTATAGGGAAGACCAGAAGACTATCAAGCAGTCACAGAATCATAGAACGGTTTGGTTTTGAAGGGACCTTAAAGATCATCTAGTTCCAACACCTCTGCCATGGGTGGAGACACCTTCCGCTAGACCAAGTTGCTCAAAGCCTCATCCATCCTGGCCTTGAACACTGCCAGGGATGGGGCATCTACAACTTCTCTGGGCAACCTGTTCCAGTACCTCACCACCCTCATAGTGAAGAATTTCTTCCTTAGATCTAATCAAAATCTGCCCTCTTTCAGTTAAAGCCATTGCCCCTTGTCCTATCACTACATGCTCTTGCAAAAAGCACCTCTCCAGCTTTATTGTAGGCCCCTTTAGGCCCTTTAGGTACTGGAAGACTACTGGAAGGTCTCCCAGAAGCCTTGTCTTCTCCAGGCTCAACAACCCCAACTGTCTCAATATGTCTTCATAGGAGAGGTGCTCCAGCCCTTGGATCATCTTCACGGCCCTCCTCTGGACTCACTCCAACAGCTCTATGTCCTTCTTGTGTTGGGGGCCCCAGAGCTGAACACAGTACTCCTGGTGGGGTCTCACAAGAGCAGAGTAGAGGGGCAGAATCATAGAATGGTTAGGGTTGGAAGGGACCTCAAAGATCATCTAGTTCCAACACCTCTGCCATGGGCAGGGGAACCCTCCACTACGCCAGGTTGCCCAAAGCCTCATCCAACCTGGCCTTGAACACTTCCAGGGATGGGGCATCTACAACTTCTCTGGGCAACCTGTTCCAGTACCTCAGCACCCTCAGAGTGAAAAATTTCTTCCTTATATCTGTCTAAATCTCCCCTCTTTCAGTTTAAATCCATTGCCCCTTGTCCTATCACTACATGCCCTTGTAAAAAGTCCCTCTCCAGCTTTCAGTCACCTCCCTCGACCTGCTGGCCATGCTTCTTTGGATGTGGCCCATGATACGGTTGGCTTTCTGGGCTGCAAGTTCACTCATGTTGAGCTTCTCCTCAACCAAAACCCCCAAGCCCTTCTCCTCAGGGCTGCTCTCAATCCATTCTCTGCCCAGCTCATACTTGTGCTTGGGATTGCCCCGACCCACGTGCAGGACCTTGCACTTGGCCTTGTTGAACTTCATTAGGTTTGCTCGGGCCCACCTCTTAAGGCTGTCAAGGTCCCTCTGGATGGCATCCCTTCCCTCCAGTGTGTCGACCACACCACACAGTTTGGTGTCATTGACAAACTTGCTGAGGGTGCACTTAATCCCACTGTCCGTGTTGCCAGCATTAGACAGTGCTGGCCTCAATACTGACCCCCAAGGAATGCCACTCGTCACTGGTCTCCACTTGAACATCGAGCCATTGACTGCAACCTTTTGAGTGCAACCATCCGTCCAATTCCTTAGGCACTGAGTGATCCATCCCTCAAATCCATGTCTCTCCAATTTAGAGACAAGGATGTCATGCGGGACAGTGTCAAATGCTTTGGACGAGTCCAGGTAGATGATGTCAGTTGCTCTTCTTTTATCCACCAATGCTCTAACCCCATCATAGAAGGCCACCAAGTATTTCAGGAAGGATTTTCCCTTAGCGAAGCCATGCTGACCGTCACCAATCACCTTCTGCTTCCAACTGTCTCATATCTTGCACGTAGGACACAAAATATGGCAAGATATGAATTTCAATTCAATGAAACCATTTCCATCTAATTTCCCAAATACAATAGGTGTTTTAGATACTGACCAAACAAAATCTCTAACAGTCAAGTTAATTAAATTTTAAAATTTGGGGCCAGGAACAGGTTTGGATGTGGCCTCAGTCTAAGTGAGTGACATGCATCAGCCAGTTTTGCCAGCATGTTATGATGATGGGAGCTGACATCCTCTAGTTCACCTTCACCATCAGTCATTCTATAGCTAAGGATAGAGGCTTATCTGTAGTTCTTCAGGTGGATCCAGGTATTTAGAGGGCAAAACATGTGGACACATCTATTGACAAAGTTACCCAGCTTTGAGTAGATTTATTGATAACATCTTGACTGTCAGAAACATGGTGGAGAACATGACAGACTGTCTCAGCTATTCAATTTAGATATTTCATAAAGAGCCTGCCAAGACATTGACTTTTCCTGGCAGTTGAGATATTGTAGCAATCCTTCTCTGGAAAGCTGTGTAATACAACATCATGGTGTTATTCATTAGAAATGAGACAGATTAAAATCTGATCACAGAATGGAAGCTCTGCAGGACAAAAAAAAATAAATAAATAGCTGCCTATTCTAGCATAATATGCATCACTCAAAAACTCTGAAAAGGCTAAAGAGTGCCTCATATCTGAGGCTGTTAGAAATGGCAGTGGAAGAAACAAGTTGTTCTTCATCTCTCGATGGAGCATCTCAGATGTTTTGATCTTCCCTGTCTTCCGGGTTTATACGACTCAGCTTTCAGTAATACCAAAGACACTTTATATTTAGCAGATGAATAATATCCTCACCTATAGAAAAGGAAGAAGGGAGCAAGAGAGTCATTCATTTTTGAGACTGTGCTATAGTCTTCATTTATAAAACATATTTTCATGGAAAGTCCACCACAACTGTCAGTAAATGAAATGTAACTGTTCATTTTCTTGTTTGAACTTTAGTCCATATGGGAACATATGTATTGCTTACCGAGGGGCAAAGCTTAAATGCTGATATTGCTACTCTGATCTCTGAGAAGAGTAAATATGACAGCTCACCATCTGGCAAATGGTCTAAACATTGGTCTTTTTATATAAGAGCAGTTTGGGGAGTTACCTTCCCTCTGGGATGTTTTTAATCACCTCATGGATCACCTGCCTAGTTCCAAGAATTAAAAACTCTTCTGTCAAACATGCTTTAGCACCATGCGAGCAATTTACAACTCTATGAGAAAGAGAAAGTACTTGATGCTTGCTGGGATCCAGTGGGTGACTTCTTTGATCTCTACAAGAGAGTTGCACTATGTTAACTTGCATCAGTCCCATCAGAGTTGATGTAAAGGAACAGTGCGTCTTTGTCAGAAAACCATACTGGTTGGTAGTCAGTTAATAGTGTGACTGAAGGGAGAAAAAAATTATGCCCCAATAAGTGTCTGATGTATTTCTTTGCATGAGAGTATAATATGGATATATACCCTGACTCGCGAGCTCTGAAATGAACCCAGCTCTGATAAACTTCAGTGCAGGCTTCGCTATCCATCCAGATAAAATCTATGCAAGGAATTTGAGCTATGTGTAGTTGCATGAATTTGAAGCTTCAGTGTCTCTTATGCACAACAGAGCCAGCAGACCCAAGCCTGGCATCAAATGGATCCAGGCTTATTTACCATCTTGAATGAAATTCTTCAGGAACAAATCTGGGAAAAATGTGGAGAGGCATGCAGAGTTGGAGAGAAAGACATTTCCTGACGAGTGTATCATTGCACAGAAAAAAAAAATGTAATGCGTGAAACTGGAAAAGCTATTGTACAGACTTTCCTAAATTAGTTCCTTCTACATGTGTTCTAATGTACGATTCTTTGGTTACATGATCGCACACTAATTTTTCTACTCTTTTTAACTGTAAGCCATAAAACCCCAGACACTGCATCTCACAGAATTGTAGTGGTATCTGTGTGGTTATAAACAGGAGGAATCTTTTACAATTTCCCATACATGACTAACCAACTAGAACTATATATATTCTTCATGATGCTACTTTTTGAAGCTGGACAAATTAAAATATATTCAGCCATATATTCACTGTCAGCTTGAGCCTGTGGTCCCATGCTCTCCGCTTAACCCAGCAACATCCCTGCCTCATACTGGATCTTAATCCCAGTCTGAAGTTCTCTGCTTATCCAATGCTATGTTCTGCCTCTTTGATTTCTCATCTCCCTCTGAATACCTTGTCTAGATTGTTGTTCCATTTTCTTCTGGGCTTACTTTCTGAGATTTCAGTTGTCCTAACAGTAGTTATTTCTCAAGCTTCCTATTTGCCATAATCTTGAAAAGTATTAATTCTCTTTCCCAAGCTCCTTATTCAATACTGGTTTCAGGCCTACTGACACCTCCCCAGCTGTTTGCTCCATCTTTGCCTAAAAAGTACTCATTACCTAAATTCCTTATTGGGTTTGCCTCTCCTTCCTGTGTGCCCTTTTTTTTTTTCACTGGATCCTACTTCCAATCACTTTATTTACTGACTCTCAACATTACCTTCTTGGATCCATCTCTGGCCAGCACCGAGCATATGTGGATTGTGATTTTCCCCACTTCTGAAAGGGTTAACACCTGGACAAATGTAGGGGAGAACTGAGGATTCATATTTCTGTCAGAGAAGCTTCTTTTTCTTAGCATATTGCACATAAAAAGACATGGAAAAGAATGTTATTAAGGTTATAACTTTTAAGTCTTTGGAAAAAAATCAGATTTCAACTTTCTTTTTCTGTAGTCTTCAATGGCATCATACTTTAAATGGAGGTCTCATGACATTGTTTAATAGGTGGCAGTAGAATGTGTCTTTTAATCTTCTTTAGTCAGTTTGTGGTTGCATAGCATCCAAATCTTTTAGTGAACACAGACACATTCATGTCCTCCTTCTGTACAGAGTTTTTCAAAAGCTACAATTTATATGTTAATATGGAAATTCATTAATTTAGGTGAAAGAACATTTGAGTATTGCATCTTGGCTCAATCACAGATCCAAAGGATGACAGAACATCAGGGATTATCAAGTTCCAGAGCCATAGCTGATCTTTGAACTTGGGTCATGAAGTTTTCCAGTTGTGCATCAGAGATCCTCGAGAACTTGGTACAGATGTGGTTCTCACACTTGCAGATTTCCTGCTCTGGCATCGAAAGCTCAGCTCATGCTGGAAGAGGAGATTCCTGCCTGACAGAAAATCCAGCTTCCCAGAGATTCTTGGTCAGATATTCAGAACTGGGATCTACTGACAGCTGGACAAATCAGCAAATAACACTCATTTGCTTGGGTGTCTGAACAAGAGCAGAATATATTTGAAAATAGGATTGACCGCCAATATTTGAATGGGGCTCTGCCATGCCTGGCATGAAAAATATTTTCAAGATGAGTTCCTTGAGTGCCTGTTTCCTTGCATGTCTATAGACAAAAGGGATTGTGGAGCCACATACTTGTGTAGCTGAATGTGCAAGATTTGGGTCTAAATGCTGTTGCCAAACTAATCACACAATGATATTAGTATAAGACAATCCTTGCAGACAGTAAGATTATTGAAATGGGATAGGATAGTTCTGGGGAAAAAAAAATAGTATTAGCATTACAGTTCTTGTAGCGCTTTACAGCAAAAAAATAGTCACTGTGGGAAATGCAGTCTGGTTTGTGAGATAATCAAGTGGAGGTAAGGTCTCAGGGCATGGCACCACATACTGTGCCTTGGGTTTGAAGGTCATCGCACAGCCAGTGGGCAGCGTTGCTGCACATGCACTATAGAGTTATGCTCTACACCCTGCCTATGGTTTCTGGTGCTCTGAAACTATGAGGCCACACATGTTCTGTTCTTTTAAAATTAGTTCTTGTCATGTTATGCAATGAAAAAGAATTCATTCCCTTCTAAGTTTAATAATTGAGTGCTGTGTCATTTATTTTTTAACTAAACTTTTCTACTCTTTTTTTCAAATATTAAATCTGCATTTTTATGTTCAGAGAGGTCAAGGGTTTCAGAGTTCCAAGAGGAATCAAAATTATTTTTAAATTGTGAAAAATAGGGATAATGGATGAGGGGTTTTTTTTCTGCATAATTCCTAAATCTATTTATTGTCCTTACAAAAACTGTAATACTATTGTTGTAATTTGTGTAATTTGTTTGTTTAGTTTCATGTGACCTTGTTAGATTGGTTTTAAAAGAATCTAATCTGCTTCAATAAGATTTACATTACTTTCTCAATCTATGGCTAAACATAAAAATAAAGAGAAGCTGATTTACTGAAAATGCACAGGTTCAGAATGAGCAAAGCATATTACCTACTTTCCAACTTTAACCATGCTACGTGATACTAATTTAATGCATTTGATTGCAGAAGCATTCTAGTATCTGTCTCCACTGTCCATCATAATATTTTCTGCTGAACAGGAAATAAACACTGAAAATATCTGAACTGAAAATCTTTGATAAATTGATTTAATTAAAACTGAAATGTTTTTCACCACTGAAATTCACACTGAATCATCTGTTTCTTTTTTCCTTGGAGAGGGAAACAGCTATTAGTAAATTCTAACTAAGAGTTTTATAAAAGAAAAGAAAAATTAGATTTGCTCAAGCTTTTGCTGAGAACCCAGCTTTTGTGTGAAATAAAAGGTAATATGAAGTCATAAAAAAGCTATCTGTTCTGCGTTTTATAGATGTTAGTAGCAATTTTTCACATGAGAAAAAAGCCAGCCCATTTCCTGAAGAAATGTTTTTCTGCATGTGCTCCTGAATTTAGGGATATTTTTTTAATATGTTTCTAAGTATGAAAATAAAATGATTGCTTTTTACTTCGGTCATAGATTCTTAAAGTGTGATTTTTTTTTTTTTTAAGTATAGAGGTTGGAGGAAGGAGGAGAGGAAGGACTGACAAAGTGTTATGGTGACTGTAGAGAAGATGTCGTAGGAGTAAAACCTTTAAAAATTACTAAAGCGGGCATAATATCAAAGCATTTTATCTCACAAATCTCCAGTCTCCCAACCTTACAGCATTAGTTCGTGTAAGCAGTGAAAAGCATATGTTTTCAGCAGGTTTTAATATGCAAAATTTTAAAAGAAGAAATCTTGCAAGAGATAAAAACAATATTTGATACTTCAGTGTTATTGAATATTCAACAAGATAAACATTACAGTTTTATTCTCATTAGTGCTATGGCTTAATCATTTTCTTCAAACACCTCAGCTGCTCTTTCTCGCAGTATTTCAAGTTCTTGAATTTATAGAAAATGCAATAGTTCTGAATTAATTTTGCTGTCTGCAGCTGTAATCTGTGCTAACTCTCTGCACAATTTGAATGGCCAGCTGAAGTGGTTTCTGGAAAGGCTGTGACTGTATTTAACTGCCACGTATTTTATTCAATCTGCAGGGTAATGACGTTCGGATAATCCTTGGCCAGTTTGATGAGGAAATGGCTGTGAAAGTTTTCTGCTGTGTAAGTAAATATATTTAATTGCATATCAGAATAAAGAATGCATTACATTTGAATAAAAATACATTTGAGCATAAACATTTCTTCATGGGGTTCAGCTCTGTCAAGATTTATATCCTCAAGAGAGGTTATACATGCTTAGCTTCATTTCTGTTTCATTAAAATACTTTTTACTTGACTTGAATTTAGATGTTGACTGCATGGTCAGCTGCTTCTTACTGCTTTCCTGTAGTGGAATTAAATGCCAAATCGAGCTTGAGCATTTCTCTTCATGTGAGATCCAGGGAAACCCTTGTAGATGTAGCAGCAGGTACAGAGTACTGCAAGATTTGGATCTTATCCAAGAGTTGTGTTTTGGTGGTATTGTCTGCATGTATGTGGTTTTGCATGTTTTGCTTTGAAAGAATAAGAAATTCAAGCAGTTCCGATATATGCTAACTAAACGATCCTAATAATTTCTTCTACTCACACTGTTGCTAATTGTACAGTTGTCATTCACTTCTGACTGCTATACTTTTTATATGAAAACAAGTATTAGTTTGTAAAAAAAGAAAAGATTTGGAATTAAAATAAGTGTAGTGAGACTAGCATAGATAAAAATTCCCTATTCTCACTGTTTGTCTGTATGTTTGAATGTGCTGCAAACATACACAGTGTGATTACTATTGAAAGTTTGAAAGTAGGAGGATTAAAATGTGGATCTTTATTTGTACCTGCTCAAAAAAAACCCAACCCAAACAGGCAGGTTTTAGTGGCCTAAATTTTGTATTGGTATTGAATTCCTAGTCTAAATAACCAGATGAATCCTGTATGAGCCAAGAACACAGTAAATATAATGGGAAGACAATAATGATGGCATCTAAATTTCGAAGAGTGTTTTTTAGTGTTCAGTTAGACAAAGTTACCTATCCAAGCAAAGAAAGGAAAAGCAGAAGTTCAAAATCTGAGTGCTACACGTGCCTCAGACGCATGTTGGCTCGTACTCGGCAGCTGTCCCAGTTGCTGGCAAAATTTGGAAAGGAGATTGTAGAGTATGTTTGGAAGGAACAAAATCTGTTTGCATCCAAAAGAAAATGGAAAGCTTTATTTTCTTTTTCATTCTTCTCATCTTTGATCAGTCTTTGTATATAGATCTTTTTGTTCCAGTATTTAAATTAGATTGACAGAGATAATCTCCCATTTTTCCATTCCTGAAAGAAAGAATGGTCCATCCGCAGCCCAGCTCCTCCTCAAATCTCTTGCAGTTGGGCTGCATTTCCTCAGTGAGGGGTCCCGGTCAAAACAGTCTTCCAACCCAATGTTAGACAAGAGATTGACCTTGCTTATGTCTCTGCCTTTAGTATCTAGTTGCCTTCCTCCACAATCCTTTTCCAAGTTCATGTGCCTGTGCGGCCACTGGAGAAATCCTAGAAGTCCTTGGAGGGGCAGGGCGTCCTCTTGCCTCCACCACTCTAGTCCGAAGGATTTCAGGTGGGGGATGTCGCTTTCACACCAATGCCCGCTGCGATTTTCTGCGGCACCAGTTTGGTACAAACATGGGAAGTGTGCGCAACTCAGGACAGTTTAAAGAGTGATGGCTGCTTCTGAAGTACTTTAGTGTCAAAAATATTAAGGTGGATTTTTCTGGGGCCTGGGGAAATCTGAGAGATCATGTATT